GTGTGAGGTGTTTTATTGTAGAGTTCCTGTTAAGTAAACTTTGTGGAAACTTTAAAACCAGTCTTAAAGTATCGTGTGAAAAAAAAAATTAACTCGAGACTTGTTTAATTAGGAATGCTGAACACACACACACATCTCCATACTTAAGCTATGTTAGAAGGATTTACAACACTTGAAGGCAGGTAATATTCCTCTGGCTCAAGTTATAGCGCCTTCGGCTCACACCAGAAGGACCTGGGCTCGATCCCAGCACGTGTGAAAAGGATGGGCAGGTTTCCTTGCATCTTTTTATCAAGCATTATTCACCATTATCATCCATTTAGTAGGTAATAGGTACCTGTGTGTTTGAAATCTTTAGGGGTTGGAGCCAAGGACCTCAATGGAAATAGGTCACTTAGACTTTTTGGGATATTTTAGGTAATTTACACACTACTATGTATGATAATTTGTGTAACTATTTGTGTACCTGTACCTAAATAAACTTAAGAGGATCAAAGGACACCAATGGAAATATGCCAAAAATAGTTTGCCCAAAATGTATTGCATATTAGTGATTTCTTTTGTGCCTAATAAGTTCTTTTACATGTAAACTACATTATGTTTGTACTGTATAAAAATAAATAAAAATTTAAATTTGTATTTGAAAATCTTGGGTTACTATTCCTATGAGTTAATAATCCGAACAAAATCTATCTTGGCATTTTTTTTTGTATGTTTTGTTGTTTAAACAGCTAGTGATCTCACTAACTTTGCCAATATACAAATAACCCGCACATAAAAGAGAGAAGCTTACGACGACGTTTCGGTCCGACTTGGACCATTGATTGACTAGAACAAGTCTAATTGTTGGCAAGCTCCGTCTGTCTCAATTAGATGAATGTTAATATAGTTCTATTTACAGTATTTAACATTGATGTGTAATACAGTACATTAATTCAAGATTTTTTAGACATTTTTGTCAGGGTCTTTCTTGGCATAATGATTATTGCTCTTATAAGCTAATTCAGTTTGCTGTGTCTTAAAAGCTTAACATGTATATATGCAGGTACATCACCAATTTACTGGCACTGGACTGTTGAGCACCTCTCTTAGTCTGAACAGAATTATGAGACTGTTTTTGTTGAAATAATTTACATGGCAACCACAAATGGCTTATGTAGTGCAAGCTTATGTTGTTTATACTGCAGTTGTTGGTGATGATCCCTTGATTCTGTACAATTTTTAGTCTATTTTGCTAACAATTAGGAATACCGTTGGTATATCTTTCATGAGTTTCGAGTCTTTCTACTCCTGGAGCTAGGCCATGGGCCAAGCTCATCTGGTGCTAGCCTGGTCAATCAGGCTGTTGCTGTCACCCCACAGATCCATCACAGCCTGATTGATCTGGCACTTGGTGAACATACTTGTCCAGTTTTCTCTTGAAGATGTCTACACTTGTTCCAGCAGTGTTTCTGGTATGACGTTGATTAATCTAAGGCTACGAATGTTGATGCAATGTTCCGTTATTGTGCCCACCACACTGCTGCTCCTCACTGGGTTAATCTTGCACTTCCTCCCATATCTCTCGCGTCAGTACATGTATATTGTTATGGCTGTGTGAAGTTTTGGGACCAGGCCCTGGAGTACTTTCCAGGTATGTATTGTCTCTCTCGCTGTGGTTAGCAATTAGCTCAGCAGCTCCAGTAAAATTCTAAAATTTGCCACCTTGAGACTGCAACAATCTTTTGTAAGTACACTAAGGTACCGGAAAATGTGCGTTCAGATGTTGTACCTGTATACATATGTATATTGAAAGATAAATGTTTTTTTTTTTTCAGTATTTACATTTATATTGACTCCTTAACCCGTAAACGGTCCAAGCAGATCTTCGTTCACATGTGTAGTGCTACAAAAGTAGATCCAAGTTTTTTTACATATTTTCAAATATAACAAAAAAAAAGTAGATCAAAGTTTTTTACACATTTTCAAATGTAGAAAAACAAAAAGAAGATCTACTTTTTTTTACATACTTTCAAATGTTGAAAAAACGTATATATACGTTTGGACCGTTTACGGGTTAAATATATTACAATATTTAGTAAATTATTTGTTTGCCTTGCTTGCACTTTCATTTTTCTCTCTTATTCTTGTTTACACTGAAGCAACATATGTTAATTATTTTTCAGCTTAATCAAGTGGCATCTGCATTTATTTAATTGTTAAACAAACATATGGGCTTTTTATTAAACATTTAGTAGTCTTTCAAATGATATAGTATACCTGTATTGCATGAAGGGATTTAAACTGCTTGGAGATTTTGCCTGAGCCCATCTCAAAGGAGGTTTTTCCAGAGTGCAAATTAATTAGGAAGGATATAGATACTGTACTATATTTAGTGTCATAGTACCAAAAACTGCCCTGTGAAATTGCAGAAATAAATTAATTGAAGTAATCTAGTGGCATGGTTTATGGTAGTAATGTATATGGAAAAACATTTATCTTAAATTACTGTAATTGTCAACAATATGCTTTTCATTTATATGTCTGTATTATAAGTCTCATCACTTGTCATCTGCCATACCTGTTCCATTTTAATATTGAATGTTGAGGAATAATGTTTAAGGCATCGTTGCTTTATAACTCGGCACAAATAAGAGGGTGGCTATTTACTGTACTGTACATCTTAGAAATTACTGTAGTAAAGTACAGTACATATTAAAGAATGTAACTAAAGCAAAATATTTTTCTTGTTTTATACTATGTGATGAAGCAAATGTTAAATCTAGCAGATTTTCACTAATAAAGTAATACATAGTTTAAACAAGCCAGGTGCTATTTTAATACATTTAAATCTTTTGATGTTTCTTCAGTGACTGACGTGCTGCCAAGATGCCTCCACGTAAGAAGCAGGATGACAACGAGAAACAGACTCGTATTGCCATTGTCAATACAGAAAAATGTAAACCTAAACGGTGTCGGCAAGAATGTAAGAAATCTTGTCCTGTAGTGCGAATGGGTAAACTCTGCATTGAAGTTACTCCAAATGACAAGATGGCAGCAATTAGTGAGGAGCTGTGCATTGGTTGTGGTATTTGTGTGAAGAAATGTCCCTTTGAAGCAATCATGATCATCAATTTGCCAAGTAACCTTGAGAAAGAAACTGTTCACCGCTACAACAAGAATTCATTTAAGCTTCACAGACTGCCTGTACCTCGTCGTGGTGAAGTTCTAGGACTTGTGGGTACGAATGGAATTGGAAAATCTACAGCTCTGAAAATATTGGCAGGGAAGCTGAAGCCAAATTTGGGACAATATTCTGATCCACCAGACTGGACTGAGATTCTAACCTATTTTCGAGGCAATGAGCTACAGAACTACTTCACCCGCATTCTTGAAGATGACTTGAAGGCTATTATCAAGCCTCAGTATGTTGACCAAATTCCTAAGGCTGTCAAAGGTTCAGTGAAGGATCTTCTTAATAAAAAGAATGACATGGAAAACCTAGAGGAGATGCTTGATGTCCTTGATCTTCGAAATGTCCTTGATCGCAACATAGAGGATCTCTCTGGAGGAGAGCTTCAAAGGTTTGCTATTGCCATGGTTTGCATTCAGGGTGCTAACATATACATGTATGATGAACCATCTTCTTACCTAGATGTTAAGCAGCGTTTGAATGCTTCCCGTGCTATACGTTCGATGGTAAAGGCTGATAATTATGTGGTGGTGGTGGAACATGATCTGGCTGTTTTGGATTACCTGTCAGATTTCATCTGTTGCTTGTATGGCCAGCCAGGTGCATATGGTGTTGTCACAGTTCCCTTCTCTGTAAGAGAAGGTATTAATGTTTTTCTTGATGGTTTTGTCCCAACAGAAAATCTTCGATTTAGAGAAGAATCTCTTACTTTCAAGGTATCTGATCAGTTAAGTGAAGAGGACATTAAAAGAATGTGTCGCTTTAAATATCCCAAAATGATAAAAAAGCTTGGCGATTTTGAGTTGACTGTTGATGCTGGTAACTTCACAGACTCTGAGATCATGGTTCTTCTTGGAGAAAATGGCACGGGAAAAACTACTTTCATCAGGATGCTTGCTGGGAGGCTAGATCCAGATGAAGGAAAGTCAGAGCTACCAGAGTTACACATTTCATATAAACCACAGAAGATCAGCCCTAAGAGTCAGTCCACTGTCCGTCAGCTGCTGCATGAAAAAATTCGGGATGCATATGTGCACCCTCAGTTTGTGACTGATGTCATGAAGCCCATGAAGATTGAAGAGCTGTTTGATCAGGAAGTTCAGCATTTGTCAGGAGGAGAGTTGCAGCGTGTGGCTTTGACTCTGTGTCTGGGAATCCCAGCTGAAGTGTACCTAATTGATGAACCTTCTGCTTACTTGGACTCTGAACAGCGTCTGGCCGCTGCCAAAGTTATTAAGAGATTTATCATGCATGCTAAGAAAACTGCTTTTGTTGTGGAGCATGACTTCATTATGGCTACTTATTTAGCAGATAGGGTCATAGTATTTGAAGGTTCTCCTTCTGTGCAAACTATAGCAAATGGTCCCCAAACGTTGGTATCAGGAATGAACAAATTCTTAGAAATGCTTGGCATCACTTTCCGCAGAGATCCTAACAACTTCAGACCACGCATCAATAAGGACTGTAGCCAGAAGGATTCCGAACAGAAGAACTCAGGCAATTACTTCTTCCTTGACACAGAAAGTAAAGGTGAAGGAAAACAGAACTGAGAGGCACCCTAGTGGTGTTTGTGAATATTACTGAAATGCAGCTCCGGCCTCAGGCCAGAAAATTTGAGCCATGCAGTGCTTATAGATTAAGGTGTGATGGAGAAAACAAAAATTTTCAGGTGCATAACAACACTTCACCAGTCATATTTACTTTTCTGGGTGGTGGGGGTATTGGGGTGTTCATGCTGCTGTATTCTGCCTCTGCTGTACTTTCATCTTTACTTTTCATGACCTGTTACCCTATAATTATATATTTTTGAAATTGATGAAATGGTCATATAATCACAACATTATAATATATTTTGTTAATTTTACTTCAGAGCCTAATTACTGTGTTGTGTAGTAAATTCCCAGAACTGCATTTGCACAAAGATGATGAAATGATTTTAGAATACTAAAGTTCTTACCATGCAATTGGGCTATACACAAATAACCCGCACATAAAAGAGAAGCTTACGGCGACGTTTCGGTCCGACTTGGACCATATATAAAGTGTGACTTTGTAAATGGTCCAAGTCGGACCGAAACGTCGTTGTAAGCTTCTCTCTTTTATGTGCGGGTTATTTGTGTATTGTTCCAGTCACGGTATTGTGCCTTTTTATGTTATTCAATTGGGCTAGTCTTGTAAATACATTTGATTACATGTTTCATGGTACAGTAATGAGAGGAACCTATCTATATATGAAATTATAACTTTAATAAACAGACCCTTTTGGGTTTAATGCTTATTTTATTACATTATTATTTAGAATAAGCATTTTCACAGTATGAAATATCAGCTAAATTATATGGGCTTGTAAAACAGTCAAGCATCACAATAGCAGTATACATATGGGGATTCACGATATAATAGTAGGGTGATGCAGCAACAGCAGCAGCTAAACCCCACCTCTTGCCCATTCCTCTTCATCTCCATCTTGTGTGACAGCCTTCTTGTTGCACTGTTGCCTACCATAAAGATAACCAAGGCCTTGGTAGCACCCATGAAGTTTTAGTTGATAATATCTAGGAGCAATGACATACAGTAAATATTTCAAGACCAATACAGCAAAAATTTCCAGAAATGTGGTTATTGGTTAAGAAGTGTTGCTTCTAAAGGATGGTTAATTCTTGGCCATTGTTGAAATAAGGTGCAGGAGGCAAAAAAAAAAAATAATAAAGACTGCATCATCACCCGATAATTAAATTTCAGCAGTATATTGATACTATGAATGGTCCAGTCATTATCATCTTTATACAACAGGTGTCAGTATTAAAGATGGCAGATTAAAAAAGTTGTTTTACTTAGTCATTGTAAAATTAAGAAGCCTAATAGCTTATGTATTACAGTAGATACAGTACTGTGCTTGTTTCCTGAGAAATAGTTCTTGTATATTAATGGACTCCTTCAATTTTGTTTATTATTTTATTATTATCACACTGGCCGATTCCCACCAAGGCAGGGTGGCCCGAAAAAGAAAAACTTTCACCATCATTCACTCCATCACTGTCTTGCCAGAAGGGTGCTTTACACTACAGTTTTTAAACTGCAACATTAACACCCCTCCTTCAGAGTGCAGGCACTGTACTTCCCATCTCCAGGACTCAAGTCTGGCCTGCCGGTTTCCCTGAACCCCTTCATAAATGTTACTTTGCTCACACTCTAACAGCACGTCAAGTATTAAAAACTATTTGTCTCCATTCACTCCTATCAAACACGCTCACGCATGCCTGCTGGAAGTCCAAGCCCCTCGCACACAAAACCTCCTTTACCCCCTCCCTCCAACCTTTCCTAGGCCGACCCCTACCCTGCCTTCCTTCCACTACAGACTGATACACTCTTGAAGTCATTCTGTTTCGCTCCATTCTCTCTACATGTCCGAACCACCTCAACAACCCTTCCTCAGCCCTCTGGACAACAGTTTTGGTAATCCCGCACCTCCTCCTAACTTCCAAACTACGAATTCTCTGCATTATATTCACACCACACATTGCCCTCAGACATGACACTGCATCCAGCCTTCTCCTCGCTGCAACATTCATCACCCATGCTTCACACTCATATAAGAGCGTTGGTAAAACTATACTCTCATACATTCCCCTCTTTGCCTCCAAGGGCAAAGTTCTTTGTCTCCACAGACTCCTAAGTGCACCACTCACCCTTTTCCCCTCATCAATTCTATGATTCACCTCATCTTTCATAGACCCATCCGCTGACACGCCCACTCCCAAATATCTGAACGTGTCAGCGGATGGGTTTATGAAAGATGAGGTGAATCATAGAATTGATGAGGGGAAAAGGGTGAGTGGTGCACTTAGGAGTCTGTGGAGACAAAGAACTTTGTCCTTGGAGGCAAAGAGGGGAATGTATGAGAGTATAGTTCTACCAACGCTCTTATATGGGTGTGAAGCATGGGTGATGAATTTTTGTTTAATCCTTTGATATTTCTAGTCCAGTAGGTGCCTGGTAGGGTAGGGTACACCAATTGCCTTTTACAGTAGTTACAAAAATTATTTTGCTGCTTTGCTTCTAATTTTTTTTTAAGACTCGATACTTAAATGTTCATAAAATGAACTTTTGACATTAAGCATTGAAACCCCTTTGTGGTTGCTTTGGAAACCTTCCTGGTATACATCATCCATTACATGATAAGCTTAATAAACTGTACGATAACCCAAGCAAAGGCAAATAAGTGGACGGTTACTTGTGTGTATGGATGCACGTAGTGCCACTCTGCAATGATTGTTAGGTTCAACAACTTTTGCCAGTCTGCACCATTTGTTGGACATCATGACAACCTTATTTCAGACACCTCCAGTGCCCTGACAAACTTGCTCTCTGCCTTCTTCTCACCTTTGCTGCATACACTATGATTTCCTGACACCAGTTTGCTTTATCAACTGTAAATGCATCCTTTAAACTGATGCTCTTAACTAAGCACACCTGTCTTTCCCCTTCCTTCATCTCTATCTATTGCAGTTCAGTGCTATATGACCCTTATGGGTTTAGCTCTTTATATGAATAGAAAATTGCAAACTCCCAAGGCTGGAAGCTTCGCTTTTTTTTTATTTTATCCAAACAACCCTTTTCTCTGAACAATATACCTAATGTTTCTCTTTTTTGCACTAAGATGACTGCCCACTGGAACCCCCCTTTGTTTTCTAGAATCCAGCAATGTGAACCTGGAGAGTCATGCAACAATAAATCCACTTTGGGGAGTTGGAATTTTGACTCCATACAAACATATTTACATAATAGTTTTTGGGCTTTTTAGCTTGTATTGCTCTCCTGCATCAGTGTCTAGCAGTAGTTGACCATCAAACTAAGTGTCGAGTTTCTTTGATATCTCTTCTCCATGACAGCTGTGTCTTGGTGAAATCATTCGCCATGGAGTTCTATTTCACAGAGACTGATGGAACAAAACTAGTTAAGATTTGAATTTAGTGTCCCAAGATTAGTTAATTATGTTTTTAAAGTAACTGAAATATTTGTTGCCCAGTGTAAATGATTACACGGTGGGCCTTCTTGGAGGCAACTTTCTTCATTCCCACAGGGTTACCAATAACATTTTAATAGTGTGGCAAAACTTGCTATTGATAGTTTGAGTTAGAGCTCCTTCAAATGATATACTTGTATATAATGTCAGTTGGTCATAAAGCTGCTTCTTACTCCTTGTCTGTCCCTTTAATGTAGGGTGCTTTGATACGGAAGTGCTCCCCATTGAAGGAATTAGAGATAGCCTCCCCTTCCTTGGATCAAACCTGATTAGGTACCTTTCATTCTTCATGTGAAGATCAAGGTCCTTCAAACCTACAATGATGGCTGAAGGGAGATTTGAACAATCAAAAGTTAAAATAGGCTGCTGCCATTTTCAAGATCAGCACTGTGACCTATAGAGATTTAACATTTTTTTGGGGGTCACTCTGCCTTGGTGGGAAATGGTCAGTGTTGGGAGGAAAAAAATGGGGGTTAAAGAATGCTTGTGAGTGCTAGGGGGTTATGTGAGCATGTTGGAGCAGAATGAGCAAAGATTGTGGTTTTCATGGCTGGATGTGCTCGTGGAGTGAGTAAGGAAACAGTCATGAAGGGGTTAAAGGAAACTGGTTTCCCAACCTAATGACCGACTGACCTGATAATACTATATTAGATACCTGAGGGCCTGGTCCCTAACCTGCATACCACTATAATTTACTTAAGTGAAAGATATGGGAGAAAGTATGGAATAAACCCAGTGAAGGACAGGGCAGGCCATGGTTACAATTGGGGTCAACATCCATGGACCAAGACTTTCAATATATTACCAGCAATATTCCTGGAATGAAGATGGCTTTCTTCTAAAAGCTCTGGATCAACTGGGTTGTGAGTTATGTAGGTCGCTTGCAAAACAGCTTGGTTGACCAGAAGATCAACAGGGGAGCTCTGTATGATCCTTTTGGGTTTGGCACTTACTGTGATTATATTTTTATTACTGTATAACCCTTGTGGGTTTAGAACTGTTTAAATAATAACCAGCTTCATTTTGGCACTTTGTTTTGATTATAATATCAGCATCATCAATGGGGAATTTATTATAATCAAAACTAAGTATTAAACTCATAAGGGTTATAGCACTGCCATTAATGGGGAAGCCTGGATTCAGGCTGGGCTGTGAGGGCGAGGGGATGGTTTACATGACCCCTTGAAACCAATCACAAGCTGAACAGGGAAGACTTGCCTTCACATGGGAATCAAATTCAGGTCCCCTAAGTTGTAACCCCTCAAGGAAGGCCCCTTTACACCAGTGAGGGGCTTTTGGTCCAAGGAACTGGAAATTATCTTTTTCTTCCTTGGATCAAACTGGATTAGTTTTCCAAGCAATGCAATCTTTACTAATTCTGTGCCCCCCCCCCCATCTCCATTAATATGTTGATTTTATAATTTTGGTTGCAATTTCAATGCTCTACTACTGAGTGCAAAGTCCAATTTAGGCTCATTTGTTTTAACGGGGAAGTGATAAACTCGTAGGGGTCATATAGCACCTAGAAATGAGAAGCTTTTGTTTTTACATTTGATCAGTTAAAATCTAGTTCCTTGGATCAAGAGCCCCACACCAGTATTAGCTGTGGTTAGGGCCTACCATATCTGTCAATATACTGTACAGTATAACATTACATTATGGGTATGGCAAGTTGGAATGCAGCATGAATATATCATCTTCCCTATCATTGCTTTGTCACGCTGTATAGCCCTTGTGGCTTAGCGCTTCTTTTTTGATTATAATAATAATAATTGCTTTGTCACAAGTAGGTTGCATTTCTAGAGGACCTGCAGAATCGTGCTAGAGCACATTTCTTCAGATCTATAGAACTAAATTAAGTGACTCGAGTCCTGGAAATGGGAAGTACAATGCCTGCACTTGAAAGGAGGGGTTTGGGATATTGGCAGTTTGGAGAGATATGTTGTGTATCTTTATACGTATATACTTTTAAACTGTTGTATGCTGAGCACCTCTGCAAAAACAGTGATTATGTGTGAGTGAGGTGAAAGTGTTGAATAATGATGAAGTATTTTCTTTTTGGGGATTTTCTTTCTTTCTGGGCCACCCTGCCTCGGTGGGAGACTGCCAACTTGTTAAAAAAAAAAAAAATCTAAAACTTTGATAAACTTGGAATGTACAGCACCATACAAGTACTGGCTATAAGTCCTGTTTCCTTCCTAGCTTGCAACTGAGATTTTCTAGTCTGGTATATGTTCAGAGATTTTACTTCTAAGTGATAGGTTTTATTAGTGATGAGCAACCACAATCTGGTATATGGATGGCCAGATCAGGAGTAATACATATTTAATTTAGATATGGTGACTGACAAGAATTTGTGCAAATTGCCCTGGCAGTTGAAATCCTCCTTAACAGAAAAATTGTGGTCTAGGTGGTAAATAATTTACAGTAAAATCACAGCTTTTTGTGACATACCATACAAGAAATACTGTGGTTGATTTCATCAGGAAAAAGTGCCATTCTCTCTTGATACAGGTCTTTGTGGAAAGATGACCCAAAACTAGTCCCAAAATGATAATAGCTTGTGGATATCCAAAACACACAAGAGCACAATCTTTTTTTATTACTACATACAGGGTGTCTAAAAAAGTGCACTTTTTTTTTTTAAAAGCATTCATGATACTGTCTAATCAGTGTGGGATGTCATCTGAAGACTGAGGTGCAGAGCAGGACACCAGCTACACTCCAAGAACTTCAGACATGAACATGAGCAGTGCTGTGCAACTAGCTCTGCTGTTAGCCACTATAAACAATATGGAAATGCAAATGGTGAACAATACATGTTGGCAAGAGCATATCTTGACACAAATTGTCATATGTTTTCTTTATTAATATACTATATTATTATCTTTTATTGAAATGTGCAGTTATTTTTTTTACTATAATTAACACCTTCAAACCACGGTTACCGAATAACATGTTCCTCTGGCCAATCAAATAATTTAGGAAAGTTATGAACTACTTCCTGGGGATAATGGTCAAGCCGTCTGGGAACCAGTCGAAGCTGGCGTAGCTGAGCAGAAACATTCTCCAAAATTTTATCAGGGATCTGTAAGAAGAAAAATTAGAAGTGTTGTAGAATGCTGTAACATTTACACACAATGTTTTAACTATTTTCATGAAATCCTAATACCACAAGTACAAAATTTAACCAAATTAAATATCATACAATGGACAGCAGTTCCTCTTAAAATATGGTGCAGTGGTCAAATTTTAAAAAATGCCTTTGAATGTACATTTTAATTCATAAATATACAGCACCTCTGCAAAAACAGTGATTGTGTGTGAGTGAGGTGAAAGTGTTGAATGATGATGAAAGTATTTTCTTTTTGGGGATTTTCTTTCTTTTTTTGGGTCACCCTGCCTCGGTGGGAGACGGCCAACTTGTTGAAAAAAAAAAAAAAAAAAAAAAAATACACAGCAAAGCCAACACTAGGACAATTATAAAATATTTGTCTTGGGACCCTGATCACTTCGAGGATAAACTTTTTTATAAATGTCCTAGTGTTTGCTCATGTATCTTTTTTTAAACCATACACAAGTGATGGAGATGAAGAGAAAGAACAACTGATTAAAGGAAGTATTATGCAGAATATTGATGAATTTGGATCGCTGCACTGTGTTGGCTAATATGAAGACTGGGATTAAGTGGATGCACAAACAATAAAGGTTAAAAATCAAGTGAATATATTAGTGGAAGAGATGTGCTGAGATATTAGCAGGAGAAAAAAGATTTTTAGTTGCATTACATGGAAAGAAAAAAAAAAGTGTTGCATAATTAAAGACAAACTGACTATAATACATTAACATACGACAAATACCTTGTCATCTGGAAATATGTGAAGTCTGGCCATCCTTCCTCTTCGTAATAGGTTGCCATCTAATTTATTGTATACAGCTTTTCTCAGAATCTAGGGGAAATAATGTCATGTTCAATGTTGTTAATTTTTTGACAAGTAATTTCAGGTCTTATATTGGTTGTTTCATGGCATTAATCATTCACGTTATAAGTTTAATCATGGATTATGTCATTTAACGGTAACACAAGACCAAGTCCCACCAAGTCAGAATAATAAATAAAAACATATTCACTATCACTCTCATTAAATGTCTTTTCAAAAGGGTACAGACATCATTTTCTTGCCCCCAAAATAACACTGTCCTTATTCAAATACCTAAACGTACTAAATATGAATACCGAACATGCTTCTGTTTGCTTTACATCTTCAAAACACAAGAATGTAATTCTGATGACCTAAGATACACAGGCATCACATTAAAAACAAATCCCTAATGATATTCTTCATGTTTGCCTAAATCTATATAAAAATGCAATGAGAATAGAAGGGGCTAAAAGATGTGGAATGACACTAGCCTTAAGTAAGTTTATTCAGGTATACACAAATAGTTATATAGATTATCATACATAGCAGCATATGTGTAGAGAACCTAGGAAAACCCAAAAAAGTCAGAGTAACTTATTTCCATTCGGGTCCTTCTTAACTCTCTTACTGTTGCAACCTTTGAAATTTAAGGTACCGATTAGTGTCACATTTTAAAAATAAAAAAATTCTTTTGAAATGGTACATAAATTTTTTCTGAAGGCAATGACACCAAAAATGTTAAAACTGATGGAACACTTAACAAATTATATATGCACAAAGGTGGCAGTCTAGATGTAATTTAAGCACTGACAATTTTGCCCATTTTGAGTCCTATTTTAAACCAATTCCAATACTCATTTGACCAGTTCTTAGCTATTTTGCTAAATGCCTTCCATTCTAGCTCTTGAAGACAAGAAACTGCCTATTCAACTATCAAAACTACCTTATAATGTGCAAGAAATTGTTAATTTGGCCAACTTCACACACAAAAAAAACAAAAATCCAACTTAAAAACAGTCCAAAATAAACTAGGCATTTCTGTCACTAAAGCAACACATCCTCTATCACACAGACCTATGTCACTGATGCTAGGGTCCCCAATGTAGGTCTGTGCCTAAATTCTAGTATCTTTAAATTTTGCAGGAGAGGCCTGGTTGGCCTACATATGAGAGTATGGGTTCGCATGGTCACTGCATGCAGTATACAAAAAAAAAAAAAAAAAAAAAATTGGGGCTATATTTCCTACAGGGTGAAGGAAATATAGCTGAGAGATGATTACTGAATACCCTCTTGTTTAAAGTCTGGTGATCACTTCCTAACAACACTACCTGCTACAGAAAAGATGTTATATCTGTGCACACACAATAAGACACTAAGCAAAGTGCAAACACACATTTTATGTGTCAAGATGTGTAGAACACGGCTGTGTATGGAGAAGTGTTCAAGGACACACAATGTAAGAGCTCTAGATACATGATCAGTGCCTATACAGCCACTCCTCACTTAGTGACGGAGTTCCATTCCTAAGACCAAATCGTTAAACAAATTCGCTGCTTAAAGTGCCCAGAGTGATGAAATGCATATACAGTACACTCATCACTTACCTTAAAATATTTGTAGTCTTAATGTAAGGCGAGAGGTGAGTAAGCGAGATAACGAATAAATGAGAGAGAAAGACAGAGAATGAGTAAGAAGACAGAGCTGCAGAGTACTTAATGTAAACAAACCATCTGGTTATGGTTCGTACATGTTCATACAAACACCTTACATTGTGTACAAGTCTCCACAGTGGTACAACAGAATAAATGAAGACCAACATCTCCATTCTCATAGAATTTTTTGAAGGAATGATGCTCTGACAAATTATTATTATTACAAATCATTATTATTACAGGTTATTATTATAATTTATTTATTTTATTTATTAATTTGAACATGATACATTTTAGTACAAAAAAACACAGTGGTTAAGTGTAACATGCCAAAGCCCCTTGTAAGCACAGCATTATGGGCGGGCTTAAAATTAACTTAAGATTAACTAAGCAATGATATATTCAGTGGTAAACATTATTGTAAACAGATAACAATTAAGCACAAATGAGTATTTCAAAGACAGGTCATATGGTCATTTACTGTGTTGCTGTGCATTCAAAAGAGTGGAGTATTCTGTTAGGTAATGTAATTAAAAATAACAAAGTTTGATTGGGTCACAGGTTAAACATTTATGAGATACAATTTTTTTTTTTTTTTTTTTTTTTTTTTCAACAAGTCGGCCGTCTCCCACCGAGGCAGGGTGACCCAAAAAAGAAAGAAAATCCCCAAAAAGAAAATACTTTCATCATCATTCAACACTTTCACCACACTCGCACATTATCACTGTTTTTGCAGAGGTGCTCAGAATACAACAGTCTAGAAGCATACACATATAAAGATACACAACATATCCCTCCAAACTGCCAATATCCCAAACCCCTCCTTTAAAGTGCAGGCATTGTACTTCCCATTTCCAGGACTCAAGTCCGACTATATGAAAATAACCGGTTTCCCTGAATCCCTTCACTAAATATTACCCTGCTCACACTCCAACAGATCGTCAGGTCCCAAGTACCATTCGTCTCCATTCACTCCTATCTAACACGCTCACGCACGCTTGCTGGAAGTCCAAGCCCCTTACCCACAAAACCTCCTTTACCCCCTCTCTCCAACCCTTTCGAGGACGACCCCTACCCCGCCTTCCTTCCCCTATAGATTTATATGCTTTCCATGTCATTCTACTTTGATCCATTCTCTCTAAATGACCAAACCACCTCAACAACCCCTCTTCTGCCCTCTGACTAATACTTTTATTAACTCCACACCTTCTCCTAATTTCCACACTCCGAATTTTCTGCATAATATTTACACCACACATTGCCCTTAAACAGGACATCTCCACTGCCTCCAACCGTCTCCTCGCTGCTGCATTTACCACCCAAGCTTCACACCCATATAAGAGTGTTGGTACTACTATACTTTCATACATTCCCTTCTTTGCCTCCATAGATAACATTTTTTGACTCCACATATACCTCAACGCACCACTCACCTTTTTTCCCTCATCAATTCTATGATTAACCTCATCCTTCATAAATCCATCCGCCGACACGTCAACTCCCAAGTATCTGAAAACATTCACTTCTTCCATACTCCTCCTCCCCAATTTGATATCCAATTTTTCTTTATCTAAATCATTTGACACCCTCATCACCTTACTCTTTTCTATGTTCACTTTCAACTTTCTACCTTTACACACATTCCCAAACTCATCCACTAACCTTTGCAATTTTTCTTTAGAATCTCCCATAAGCACAGTATCATCAGCAAAAAGTAACTGTGTCAATTCCCATTTTGAATTTGATTCCCCATAATTTAATCCCACCCCTCTCCCAAACACCCTAGCATTTACTTCCTTAACAACCCCATCTATAAATATATTAAACAACCATGGTGACATTACACATCCCTGTCTAAGACCTACTTTTACCGGGAAATAGTCTCCCTCTCTTCTACACACCCTAACCTGAGCCTCACTATCTTCATAAAAACTCTTTACAGCATTTAATAACTTACCACCTATTCCATATACTTGCAACATCTGCCACATTGATTTTTAAGTAGAGACTTGAATTTATAAACAGACAGTTTCTTTTATATTCACAGGTAATGAATTCCAGATTTTTGGGCCTTTTATGTGCATTGAGTTTTTGCATAGTGTGAGATGGACACGAAGAACATCAAAGAGTGATCTGTGCCTTGTGTTATGGTCATGTGTTCTGTTGAGGTTGGCAAGGAGACGTTTGAGGGGAGGGTTTATATCCGAGTTAAGTGTTTTGTGTATGTAGTAGGTACAATAATAAGTATGGATGTTTTGTATGGTGAGTAGGTTTAGAGTTTTGAATATTGGTGGAGTGTGCTGCCTGTAGTGGGAATTTATCATCATTCTGACTGCAGCCTTTTGTTGGGTAATTAATGGTCTGAGATGGTTTATTGTTGTTGAGCCCCATGCACAAATTCCATAGGTGAGATAGGGGTAAATAAATGAGTGATATAGGGCCAGGAGGGCTGACTGTGGAACATAGTACCGTATCTTCGACAGTATGTGCTAATCCCACAAGGGTCATGAATAGCTATAGATAGAGTGAAGGCATATGAAAGGAACATTTTTCTACAGTTAAGTAACTGGTGTTTGACTAGAGAAAACGTAGTTCTTCTGACTCTCCTACTAACCGCTTGGTAAACAAATCTCATATTTATATCAATTTCTTTACTGTGGGTGTATGTATCATGCTTATATATTACGTAGTGTTTATTATATAATTTTGACACACAGACGTTTCCATTAATCTATCTATGATGGATTAATGGAAATGTCTATATTAACATAATATACGACATTTAGTGCACTCGAGATTATTATATGGCGTCGAGTAGAGACACTTAGTGATTTTAATGTGTACCTGCATGCCAGCATAGTGTGTAAGTATATTTAGGTACAGGTATACACAAGTATAATTTTTTTTTATTAACATATTGGCCGATTCCCACCAAGGCAGGGTGCCCCGAAAAAGAAAAACTTTCATCATCATTCACTCCATCACTGTCTTGCCAGAGGGGTGCTTTACACTACAGTTACGAAACTGCAACATTAACACCCCCACCTTCAGAGTGCAGACATTGTACTTCCCATCTCCAGGACTCAAGTCTGGCCCGCTGGTTTCCCTGAATCCCTTCATAAATATTACTTTGTCCACACTCGATGAAAATTTTGCTCAAATAAGAAAATTAGTTATTGAAAACTAAATATCCTGTAACTATAGTCTGAAAAAATATATACCAATCACACATGTATGTTTTGAAGAAGAAGAAAAAAAAAAAAACTAATACAGTAGTATGCAATTGAAAGTGTGAGTATTTCAACTATGTTACCATATGAGGGTCACTTCCAGAAACTGCAACCATCTATTTCTTGGTAAGTTTTAACCAGGTTTTCATTTTTTTGTTTGTTTTAAAACAGGCAAAATCAAGGCTGAATTTTTGGTGGAAAAAAAAAAAAATTAGCCCTACAATGCTGAAGACAGTAATGAGACAGGAAAACACACACCAGTAGGGAATGCAGTCACAAAAAACCAAGACCAACAGAAACCAGGCCTATGCAAATTCTATGCATTAGGTATCTACAGGCATGGAATATCTGGAAAAACAGATGGGATGAGCAACTTTTACCACCCCAGGAAATGCCATGCCCATATGACAACAAGAGAATGCAACCTTCCTTCCTGTAAGCTTTTTTTACCCTGAAATGTGTCAGTCTTTAGTTCAGGAAAGACAATGCTATAACTTATATTGCCAGGCACACCACCTAAAGGGGACAAGAAGATACAGAAGATCCAGACCATGGGAAAACCTGGGTAGCCACAAGCACTCCAGAGAGGTTTTTTAGCACCAGGAAGGGAAAAAAAGCTGGCAGGAAATGACAGAAATCGTACATCAACTCTGATAATTTCTGGAGTGGAATCACAGTTGATGGCCTCCACTGCAAAACAAATATTAGTGCCAGGAAAAAAAGACCCCCCACCCCCAATACCACCAATCCGACGACTTTCATCTTTGCAAATATACAGTGTCTAAAGCCAGCAACAAACAACAAAATACCTCATCCATGGACTGCTTACAGAGTCAAATGCAATGTTCATGGCTTTCACAGAGACCCACATAGAGGATCACTCTGACAATGAAATATGGACCCTGGGTTACAACCTATACAGATGTGGCAGAGTGAACAGGCAAAAGGGGGTGGGGGGTTGGCCTGTATATCACAGCATCACTTATATGCTCGGAACTACTAAATGCCTCAAATGATGTAGTTGAAGTTTTGGCAGTAAAGATCAGGAACTAAAACCTGGTCATTGTGGTTGTATACAAGCCTCCAGATGCAACCTCCCAACAATTCCAGGAACAGCTTGTGAAAACTGATCACTGTCTGGAAAATCTTCTAGCTCCTGCCCCCAACATATTGCTGTTTGGGGATTTCAACCTAAGGCACCACCTAAAATGGAGGAATGTAGCAAATAATGTTGTAGCAGAGACAACACCAGGAGGAAGCTCAGATGAAACCTCACACACACACAAGCTTTTAAATCTCTGCACCAAACTCACCTTAAACCAGCAAATAATAGAGCCTACAAGATTGGAGAATACATTGGACCTCATCTTCATTAACAATGATGATCTGATATGAAATATTACCATATCAAAAACAGTATACCCAGATCACAACATAATAGAGGTTCAGACATGTATGTGCGGGGCCCCAGACCCACGGTCACTAAGCGTCCTCGTTCGTTGGACATAATCTCTCCTCCTGCGCTTCTTGCGGAGCCCAGGCTGGAGAATCTCCCTTCAGTGGGAACCCACCCATGTTGGAATCCGGGGCAATGAAGTGGTGGATCGAGTGGCCTCCCTCACACACACACTTCCAACTATTACCCCTCTTGCCCTGGGCCACAGTGATTTCAAAAGGGCTGTTTGGAAGGGAATCCGCCATCAGTGGCAGGAGGGCCTGGCACACTCCCTCTCTTCTTCGGCATTGGGCTCTGTCTGATCTTTTAATGGCCCCTGCCCTCGCCATTCCAACCGCTCGGCGGATGTCGCACTGAGTCGCCTTCAAGTTGGGCACTCGCAACAGGAGTCAAGGAACATGGAAAGAACTAAAAGCCATAAATGATATTGAAAAACTCAAAATATTTCTTTTCTTATGCCAAATCAAAGTCGAGAACAACATCCAGTATTGGGCCTATACTTAAATGAGATGGGTCCTACACAGATGACAGCAAGGAAATGAATGAGCTACTTGAAGTCATAATATGACTCAGTTTTTAGCGAGCCGCTAACCAGACTAAGTTGAAGACCAAAATGAATTTTTTATGAGAGACAGAATTTGGTAGACTTGAACTTATCTGGTATTATCATGATGCCAAATGACTTCAAAAAGGCAATAAATGATATGCCCATGCACCCTGCCCCAGACCCAGACTCATGGAACTCCTTGTTCATCAAGAACTCCAAGAAGTCCCTATCATGTGCTTTTAACATCCTATGGAGAGGGAGCATGGACACAGGAGTCATCCCACAACTTCTAAAAACAACAGACATAGCCCCACTCCACAAAGGGGGTAGTAAAGCAATAGCAAAGAACTACAGACTGATAGCGCTAACGTCCTGTATCATAAAAATCTTTGAAAGGGTTCTAAGAAGCAAGACTGCCATCCATCTAGATACCCATCAGTTACGCAACCTAGGGCCACATTGGTTTCGAGCAGGTCGCTCCTGTAGTCCCAACTACTGGACCACTATGACAAGGTCCTGGATGCTGTATACTACATCTGCGTTTGCAGATGTAGTATACAAAGACTTTGCAAAAACCTTTGACTAGTGTGACCATGGTGTAATAGCACACAAAATGCGTGATAACGGAATAACAAGAAAAGTTGGTAGATAGATCTATAATTTCCTAACAAACAGAACACAAAGAGTAGTAGTAAACAGAGTAAAGTCTGAGGTGCCTACAGTGAAAAGCTCTTCCACAAGGCACAGTTCTTGCTCCCATCCTATTCCTCATCCTCATATCTGACATAAACAGGGATGTAAGCCACAACACCATGTCTTCCTTTGCAGATGACACCTGAATTTGCATGACAGTGTCCTCCATTGAAGACATCGCAAGACTCCAGGCGGACATCAACCAAATCTTTAAATGGGCTGCAGAAAACAATATGAAATTCAATAATGAAAAATTTCTGTTACTTTAATATGAAAAATATGAGGAAATCACAACTATTTCAGTATAAAACAAATTCCAACCACACTAACAGAGCGAAAAATTAATTTAAAAGACCTGGGAGTGATCATGTTAGAGGATCTCACCTTCAAAGATCATAATATTGTATCAATTGCATCTGCTAGAAAAATGACAGGATGGATAATGAGAAGCTTTAAAACTAGGGATGCCAAGCCCATGATGAAACTCTTCTGTTCACTTGTTCTATCTAGGCTGGAATATTGCTGCACACTAACAGCACCTTTCAAGGCAGGTGAAACTGCTGACCTAGAAAGTGTAGAGACATCCTTCATGGCACACATAACTGCGATAAAACATCTCAGTTACTGGGAACGCTTGAAGTACCTCAACCTGTACTCCCTAAAATGCAAGTGGGAGAGATACATGATTATATACACTTGGAAAATTCTAGAGGTATTAGTACCAAGCTTGCACACGAAAATCACTCCCTATGAAAGCAAAAGACTCAGTAGACAATACAACACCCCCCCCAACGAAAAGCAGGCATGCCACTAGCACAGTAAGAGAACACAAAAAGTGTCAGGGGCACAAGACTGTTCAACTGCCTCTTAGCATACCTTTAGGGGGATTACCAATAAACCTCTGGGTGTCTTCAAGAAGGCACTGGACAGACACCTAAAGTCAGTACCTGACCAGCCTGGCTGTGGTTCATATGTCGGGTTGCGTGCAGCCAACTGTAATAGCCTGGTTGATCAGGCCCTGATCCACCATGAGGGTTGGTCACAGAACAGGCCAGGGGGGCACTGACCCCCGAAACCCTCTCCAGGTATACAATTTAATTTTACCCCCCCCCCCCAATGGCAGTTTAAAGGTTAAATCTCACCATTGTGGAGTCAGTTTTATGCAGTTCCCAGGCTAATGTCCATGTAGCACCCCCAGCATAGCCAGTGTGGTGAAAATATACACGTTTTTCCCATTCATCCCCTGGAAGGGCTATATCATGTGAATTTATTACGACAACATGGTCTCCACAGTCACCTGAAATAACAAATAACAAGACCTGATACAATAAAAGAGAAGTTAACCATATAAATATGAAGCAGTAATTTATATGTGCTGATGAAGAATGGCAAGGATAGTAATACTGGTACAGTATTTTTACAGTAATATTTATTTATGGGGAAGCATTAAACTTGTAGTGATCATACAATGCCTATGGAATAGGAGGTAATCAGGTTTGCTCCAAGGAGATAGAGGGTACCTCTAATTCCTTGGCTCAAGACAGAGCCCTTCGCTATCCCCTTGAAGGATCAAAGGTAGTAAATAACAGACAAAGCGTATAAAAGTGTTGTAGTAATGAAGCAAAATGACAATAAATGAGCATTCTCATATTAGGCTCTCATGTGAATCAAATGTTATCCAATCAAGGTTTGCCTTAGTTGATTGAACATGAGTAAAAATAGAGAAACGGTCAGAAGCATTAGAGAATTAGTTTGATGAGCATTCTACAGTGAACTGAAACTATAGCAGAAAAGATTAGGGTAATAAGTTGCTACTGGCACAATTCAAAATCTTATGAAGTAATTCTTAATCTTATGACTATTATTCTAATATTAACTCCAATATGGTACTAGTTTTGTATCCATACACTTTAAACTATGCAACTGAAATATGTACTCAAAGATAACAGGACAATTATTCATTAAATGATTTATTTCTACTCAGTATATACAACGGCTAAAAATAAGATTTTCATACTTAGGGGATGATATATTGGCTTATGACTGCCTGCAAGATAGTGCTTTATCTTGTCTGCCGAGTCCAGTGGATTCTGCCACTTAGCATCATACAAGTACCACATTCTGCCAAATGTTGCCCATTGCTGGAAAAATAATGCATAATGTAGTATTTTAGTATAAGTTCTACATAATACTGTAATAATCTCTGACATACATTTGGACATTCATTTTGCCAGATGCACATTAGAAGAAAACTTATAAACCAAACCAGTTATCATTCATTGTACATCAGAAGATTTACTGCAACTACTGTAACTTAGCACGAACTGTAACTATTATTATTATATTATTATCACACTGGCCGATTCCCACCAAGGCAGGGTGGCCCGAAAAAGAAAAACTTTCACCATCATTCACTCCATCACTGTCTTGCCAGAAGGGTGCTTTACACTACAGTTTTTAAACTGCAACATTAACACCCCTCCTTCAGAGTGCAGGCACTGTACTTCCCATCTCCAGGACTCAAGTCCGGCCTGCCGGTTTCCCTGAACTCCTTCATAAATGTTACTTTGCTCACACTCCAACACCACGTCAAGTATTAAAAACCATTCGTCTCCATTCACTCCTATCAAACACGCTCACGCACGCCTGCTGGAAGCCCAAGTCCCTCGCACACAAAACCTCCTTTACCCCCTCCCTCCAACCTTTCCTAGGCCGACCCCTACCCCGCCTTCCTTCCACAACAGACTGATACACTCTTGAAGTCATTCTGTTTCGCTCCATTCTCTCTACATGTCCGAACCACCTCAACAACCCTTCCTCAGCCCTCTGGACAACAGTTTTGGTAATCCCGCACCTCCTCCTAACTTCCAAACTACGAATTCTCTGCATTATATTCACACCACACATTGCCCTCAGACATGACATCTCCACTGCCTCCAGCCTTCTCCTCGCTGCAACATTCATCACCCATGCTTCACACCCATATAAGAGTGTTGGTAAAACTATACTCTCATACATTCCCCTCTTTGCCCCCAAGGACAAAGTTCTTTGTCTCCACAGACTCCTAAGTGCACCACTCACCCTTTTCCCCTCATCAATTCTATGATTCACCTCATCCTTCATAGACCCATCCGCTGACACGTCCACTCCCAAATATCTGAATACATTCACCTCCTCCATACTCTCTCCCTCCAATCTGATATCCAATCTTTCATCACCTAATATTTTTGTTATCTTCATAACCTTACTCTTTCCTGTATTCACTTTTAATTTTCTTCTTTTGCACACCCTACCAAATTCATCCACCAATCTCTGAAACTTCTTTTCAGAATCTCCCAAGAGCACAGTGTCATCAGCAAAGAGCAACTGTGACAACTCCCACTTTATGTGTGATTCTTTATCTTTTAACTCCACGCCTCTTGTCAAGACCCTCGCATTTACTTCTCTTACAACCCCATTTATAAATATATTAAACAACCACGGTGACATCACACATCCTTGTCTAAGGCCTACTTTTACTGGGAAATAATTTCCCTCTTTCCTATGTACTCTAACTTGAGCCTCACTATCCTCGTAAAAACTCTTCACTGCTTTCAGTAACCTACCTCCTACACCATACACCTGCAACATCTGCCATATTGTCCCCCTATCCACCCTGTCATACGCCTTTTCCAAATCCATAAATGCCACAAAGACCTCTTTAGCCTTATCTAAGCATGTATGCACCTGGAGAAGAGAGGAATGCAGAGGAGAGGGAGAGATTTTGGGAGATGTTAAGTGAATGTATAGGAGCCTTTGAACCAAGTGAGAGAGTAATTGTGGTAGGGGACCTGAATGCTAAAGTAGGAGAAACTTTTAGAGAGGGTGTGGTAGGTAAGTTTGGGGTGCCAGGTGTAAATGATAATGGGAGCCCTTTGATTGAACTTTGTATAGAAAGGGGTTTAGTTATAGGTAATACATATTTTAAGAAAAAGAGGATAAATAAGTATACAAGATATGATGTAGGGCGAAATGACAGTAGTTTGTTGGATTATGTATTGGTAGATAAAAGACTGTTGAGTAGACTTCAGGATGTACATGTTTATAGAGGGGCCACAGATATATCAGATCACTTTCTAGTTGTAGCTACACTGAGAGTAAAAGGTAGATGGGATACAAGGAGAATAGAAGCATCAGGGAAGAGAGAGGTGAAGGTTTATAAACTAAAAGAGGAGGCAGTTAGGGAAAGATATAAACAGCTATTGGAGGATAGATGGGCTAATGAGAGCATAGGCAATGGGGTCGAAGAGGTATGGGGTAGGTTTAAAAATGCAGTGTTAGAGTGTTCAGCAGAAGTTTGTGGTTACAGGAAAGTGGGTGCGGGAGGGAAGAGGAGCGATTGGTGGAATGATGATGTAAAGAGAGTAGTAAGGGAGAAAAAGTTAGCATATGAGAAGTTTTTACAAAGTAGAAGTGATGCAAGGAGGGAAGAGTATATGGAGAAAAAGAGAGAGGTTAAGAGAGTGGTGAAGCAATGTAAAAAGAGAGCAAATGAGAGAGTGGGTGAGATGTTATCAACAAATTTTGTTGAAAATAAGAAAAAGTTTTGGAGTGAGATTAACAAGTTAAGGAAGCCTAGAGAACAAATGGATTTGTCAGTTAAAAATAGGAGAGGAGAGTTATTAAATGGAGAGTTAGAGGTATTGGGAAGATGGAGGGAATATTTTGAGGAATTGTTAAATGTTGATGAAGATAGGGAAGCTGTGATTTCGTGTATAGGGCAAGGAGGAATAACATCTTGTTGGAGTGAGGAAGAGCCAGTTGTGAGTGTGGGGGAAGTTCGTGAGGCAGTAGGTAAAATGAAAGGGGGTAAGACAGCCGGGATTGATGGGATAAAGATAGAAATGTTAAAAGCAGGTGGGGATATAGTTTTGGAGTGGTTGGTGCAATTATTTAATAAATGTATGGAAGAGGGTAAGGTACCTAGGGATTGGCAGAGAGCATGCATAGTTCCTTTGTATAAAGGCAAAGGGGACAAAAGAGAGTGCAAAAATTATAGGGGGATAAGTCTGTTGAGTATACCTGGTAAAGTGTATGGTAGAGTTATTATTGAAAGAATTAAAAGTAAGACTGAGAATAGGATAGCAGATGAACAAGGAGGCTTTAGGAAAGGTAGGGGGTGTGTGGACCAGGTGTTTACAGTGAAACATGTAAGTGAACAGTATTTAGATAAGGCTAAAGAGGTCTTTGTGGCATTTATGGATTTGGAAAAGGCGTATGACAGGGTGGATAGGGGGGTAATGTGGCAGATGTTGCAGGTGTATGGTGTAGGAGGTAGGTTACTGAAAGCAGTGAAGAGTTTTTACGAGGATAGTGAGGCTCAAGTTAGAGTACATAGGAAAGAGGGAAATTATTTCCCAGTAAAAGTAGGCCTTAGACAGGGATGTGTGATGTCACCGTGGTTGTTTAATATATTTATAGATGGGGTTGTAAGAGAAGTAAATGCGAGGGTCTTGACAAGAGGCGTGGAGTTAAAAGATAAGGAATCACACATAAAGTGGGAGTTGTCACAGTTGCTCTTTGCTGATGACACTGTGCTCTTGGGAGATTCTGAAGAGAAGTTGCAGAGATTGGTGGATGAATTTGGTAGGGTGTGCAAAAGAAGAAAATTAAAAGTGAATACGGGAAAGAGTAAGGTTATGAGGATAACAAAAAGATTAGGTGATGAAAGATTGGATATCAGATTGGAGGGAGAGAGTATTGAGGAGGTGAATGTATTCAGATATTTGGGAGTGGACGTGTCAGCGGATGGGTCTATGAAGGATGAGGTGAATCATAGAATTGATGAGGGGAAAAGGGTGAGTGGTGCACTTAGGAGTCTGTGGAGACAAAGAACTTTGTCCTTGGAGGCAAAGAGGGGAATGTATGAGAGTATAGTTTTACCAACACTCTTATATGGGTGTGAAGCATGGGTGATGAATGTTGCAGCAAGGAGAAGGCTGGAGGCAGTGGAGATGTCATGTCTGAGGGCAATGTGTGGTGTGAATATAATGCAGAGAATTCGTAGTTTGGAAGTTAGGAGGAGGTGCGGGATTACCAAAACTGTTGTCCAGAGGGCTGAGGAAGGGTTGTTGAGGTGGTTCGGACATGTAGAGAGAATGGAGCGAAACAGAATGACTTCAAGAGTGTATCAGTTTGTAGTAGAAGGAAGGCGGGGTAGGGGTCGGCCTAGGAAAGGTTGGAGGGAGGGGGTAAAGGAGGTTTGTGTGCGAGGGGCTTGGACTTCCAGCAGGCGTGCGTGAGCGTGTTTGATAGGAGTGAATGGAGACGAATGGTTTTTAATACTTGACGTGCTGTTGGAGTGTGAGCAAAGTAACATTTATGAAGGGGTTCAGGGAAACCGGCAGGCCGGACTTGAGTCCTGGAAATGGGAAGTACAGTGCCTGCACTCTGAAGGAGGGGTGTTAATGTTGCAGTTTAAAAACTGTAGTGTAAAGCACCCTTCTGGCAAGACAGTGATGGAGTGAATGATGGTGAAAGTTTTTCTTTTTCGGGCCACCCTGCCTTGGTGGGAATCGGCCAGTGTGATAAAAAAAAAATAAATAAAATATTATATGTTTCACTGTAAACACCTGGTCCACACACCCCCTACCTTTCCTAAAGCCTCCTTGTTCATCTGCTATCCTATTCTCAGTCTTACTTTTAATTCTTTCAATAATAACTCTACCATACACTTTACCAGGTATACTCAACAGACTTATCCCCCTATAATTTTTGCACTCTCTTTTGTCCCCTTTGCCTTTATACAAAGGAACTATGCATGCTCTCTGCCAATCCCTAGGTACCTTACCCTCTTCCATACATTTATTAAATAATTGCACCAACCACTCCAAAACTATATCCCCACCTGCTTTTAACATTTCTATCTTTATCCCATCAATCCCGGCTGTCTTACCCCCTTTCATTTTACCTACTGCCTCACGAACTTCCCCCACACTCACAACTGGCTCTTCCTCACTCCTACAAGATGTTATTCCTCCTTGCCCTATACACGAAATCACAGCTTCCCTATCTTCATCAACATTTAACAATTCCTCAAAATATTCCCTCCATCTTCCCAATACCTCTAACTCTCCATTTAATAACTCTCCTCTCCTATTTT